TCTTGCAGAATGCAAGCTCCATGGGAACAGAGGACATTTTAAAAATCTTCTTGTTTTGACTCCATCTTATTGAATAGAACATATCTCAATCAGAATACACCAATTTCCATTAATTTTTGTTGAGTACACTTTTTTGAGCTAATGCCATTTAAGTCAATGTAATTCCTTGATTCATTTTCTATGCAATACAATTGAACCACTTCCTTTTAAAAGGTATCATTTCACTTTTATTTTTGTGCAATCATTTCCTTAGAATCAATTTTACCATGATTTGGTTCCTTGGTTTCTTATGCATATCAAATGTTACTGATGATAGCTTTTGCCACTGTAATCTTTTTTATGGCTAGTTTATCTATGAAGTGTAATTTCTCTGAATCAAATTTATAGGTAGAAATGTCATGAAGGAAATTTGAATTGTGGGTTATTTCAGTCAAGTCTTGTGTAGTTTTGCCACAATTGACCTTAGTTTATATGGATTTCTTTATGCATATTGGAAAAAAAATGGATATATATTTTCATTGTCTTTAAATCCTAATGCCCTGGAACTCTGGATTCAATTAATTCACTGGTGGGCTTGGGGTCAGCATGAGAGAACAGCAGAGGAAGGGTACTTATTATGTGTAGGGCAGATGGCAGAGAATACAGACCTCTGCAGTGGGTGCTGGCATAACGCTCTAAAAGGCCTGTTGGGCCCAACACTGCCTCAGCACATTATTTACTCAGGAGTCCAGAGACAAGGCCAGACTTCCCACTCTTCCCCCTCCTCATAACTGAGACAGAGGACACAGAGGATGAATCTGAAGCCCACACCTACTGTCCAAATGGACACACAAGCTTTCTGTTATACCAACTATTCTTAAAGTGTGTTGCCCAGACTAGCAACAGCATCATCTGAGAATGCATATGTAATGCAAGTTCTTGGGTCCTGACTCATATGTATGGAATCAGATTCTGGGGGTGGGGCCCATCAATCTGTATTTTAACAAGCTCTCCAAGTGATTCTGACGCATGTTCAGGTTTGAGAGCCACAGCCTTATACTCAGCTATCATCCTGGCTATGAAAAGGTAGGAGGAAGATATGCAAAAAGATTAAACATTTACCTCAAAGAAATCAAAGACTAAAATATCCTTTAAGCAAGATCAAGTCTCCCATGACTCCTGTTTTCAGTATAACCAAAGTTTATAAGAAGTTTTAGTTCACTGCAAAGAAATACAGAAGCCTACATTTTTGCCTACCCAAATTGTAGCAGGCAAATCCTAACCTCCTCATTATAATAGCCCAACAATATTCATTATGAGTAGTTAAAAGTTTGTATTTACTTCCTGAATCATCCTCAACAAAAATATCAACAAATATTGCCCAGGATTGTTTTATTTCACAGCCAAGTCCATTCTTCAGTAGGAATTTGACCACTCTGTAATGAGCACCTCCTACAGAAACGACAAGCAAATGAATGGGCCAAAAGGTCCCTGGGAGTCAATGTGGCAGGCTAAAATCTTCTGTGTTGGGACAGAGTTCTTGTCTGTCTTCTCCCTGTGGCATGTAAAGAGTCTTTCGTAGTGCCTTGTCCTTTGTAGATGCTCAATATAGATACGGTGAATGAATGGAGAATCCTTGAGGATTTAAACAGCTTGCAAATGCCTCATTGAAAAAGTGACAGAAGTTAGACCTTGAATAATGGGCAGAACAGGATAAAGAATGGGGATACTTTAGTTGGGAGGAGGAAGGGATACACAGTGGGCTGAGCAAAACTTGGGAGTCAGGTCTAAATGTGGAAGGTTGGGACTGGCTGTCTTAGTCTCTTCAGGCTGCTATAACAAAATACCAAAAACCGGTGGCTTATAAATAACAGAAATATATTTTTCACAGTTCTGAAGGCTAGGAAATCCAAGAACAAGACGCCAGCATTTAGTGTCTAGTGAGAGCCCACTTTCTGGATCACAGAAAGTGCCTTTTTGCCATGTCCTCGTTTAAAGGAAGGGGTGACCAAATTTCTTTGGGCTTGTTTTATAATGGCACAAATCCCATTCATGAGGGCACCACCCTAATTCCCTCCCAAAGGCTACATCATCTAATACCAACACCTTGGGGATTTAGATTTCAACATATGAGTTTGGGGGGACATTCAAACCCTGCACTGAGTGTATGGTATTAGAGAGGAAAAGCTGTCCATGGGGGACCAATATGACCACCAACATTGTTATACAATATAGTTAAATCAGCTGATGAGTTAAATAAGTACTAATCCTCTGTTACATTCCCTACTGTGCTAGGCACCCAGCAAACAGAGAAAGGACAGACATGGCACCTGAGTCTAGTGAAGAAAACAGACAGTGACAGGCATATGATAAACGCTTTGATAAGTGAGGTACATGAGGCACATGGGGAGTTCACCTAACCAGGTGAGCTAGACCAGAAAGCCTTCTCAGATGAAAAGATGTCTAAGCTGAGACCTGAAGGATGAGTAGGAATTAGCCATTCCACAAGCAGGGAAGTGGGGTGTAGAGTAGCAAGAGTTGGAGCTGGATGGACAAACGTGGGCCAGATTAGGAAGGACCTTCTAAACCACGTTGGAGAGCCTGAGCTTTATCCAGAAGCATGTGAGGTCCTCAGGAAGTTAAACAGGGGAGAAAACAGACTTATCTATGACAGTTTCACAGAATTTATTCTTTGAAATTCCTACCACTGAGATGGGATATATGCTCCCTCCATTTGAATCGGGGGGAGGGGAGGGGCATTGGGACTTCAGTGGAAGTGATGTTATGTGACTTCCGAGAGTAGGTCATAAAAGGTAACTGCTTCTGCCTGGTTCTCTTGGGACAGTCACTCCTAGTACCTAGCCACCATGCTGTGGGGAAGCTACATGTAGATATGTTCCAGCCCCAGCACTAGCTGAGGTCCTAGCATCAACTGCCAGAAATACTAAGGAAGTCTTTGAGATGATTCCAGTCCTGGCCACAATCTGATGATGACTATAACTGCATGAGAACCTGAATAAGAACTATCTGGCTGAGCCCAGTCAGTACTTAGGATAATGAGAAATAACTCAATGACTGGTGTTGTTTAAAGCCACTGAGTTTTCAAGTGTTTTCCACACAGCAATCAATAACTAGAACTATCCCTGATATCAACTAATTAAGAAGATATCTTTTTGTCTCCTCCAGTATTGTGCTGAACTCACCATACTGATTTTTGGGACTCTGGAGCAACACATGTCTACAGTAAGTAAAAACAGTCTACAAAAGCACACAACAGAGTTAAGGAATAAGATGTTCTGTCCAATCAAATATTTTCATTAATGGGATAAGTAGGCCAGGTGCGGTAGCTCATGCCTGTAATCCCAGCTCTTTGGGAGGCCAAAGCAGGCAGATCACTTGAGGATAAGAGTTAGAGACCAGCCTAGCCAACATGGTGAAACCCCACCTCTACTAAAAAAAAATACAAAAAATTAGCCAGTGTGGTGGTGGGCAACTGTAATCCCAGCTACTTGGGAGGCTGGGGCATGAGAATTGCTTGAACCCAGGAGGCGGAGGTTGCAGTGAGCTGAGATCACACCACTGCACTCCAGCCTGGGGAACAGAGCGAAACTATGTCTCAAAAAAA